GTTTTACTTGCAGTGTTCATATTATTAAATGTGCCTATGCCAAGCAGTGTTGCCAACTTAGCGACTTTGTCGCTATATTTAGCGAGTTTTCAGACCCCCTTAGCGACTTTTTTTTCTAAAAAGCGACTAGCGACAAATCTGGCGACTTTTTCTGGTATTATTGGAGACTTATTTATGACGACTTTTTGACATGAAAACGCGTATCGCTCTTACTCTCAACAAGCAGCGGTGCTGCCGTGGGCACCTCACCCGTGCCAAAGCGCTCACAGGCGGAGGATAGTCCTCCCCCAGCTGCTATCAGGGCAGGAGACGTTCACACCTGTGCGTCCAAACGGCAAATGAATCGAGCATGAGCGAAGCCGCTGATCCCACACTGACTGTAACACAGTCAATTCTTCTTTTACTGTTACACTGTTTTGTGGATCACAAGGTTTAAAACTACTTATAAACAAACACTCTCACACACAGTAACTCCACCAGAGTGCCGATTTCGGGTTACTTTTGCCGGTCCAGGCCTGGATAAAGGAGCAGGGTTGGAATTGTGACATTAAAAAACAATAATTGCTAAAAGAAATTTAATTTGTAGTTCTAAATAAATTCTAACTGCATTTAGGACGTTTTTTTTACTCGCTTTATGTCTCTTCCACGATGTTATTTCTCTCTCCAACAGTATAGGTTACAATTACATTAGCATGACCAATTATGCAAATTAGGTGATGACGTCATTTGGCGACTTCTAGCGACTTTTAGGACAGCCAACAGCGATTTTCCTTACTGAGGAGTTGGCAACACTGATGCCAAGAGGCACACTTATTACTATTCCTCAGACTGAAGAAGTCACTTGGATGAGTGACGAAACGTTTCTCCCAGAATATGCTAGGTCCAGATGAACAGAATCAACTTTTGGAGATTCCTCAGATTTCTTCTTATTATTATTATTCCTCAGTTTCCACCTGAAATTTTACAGCGTAACTCACCCCACAGTTTTGAGACATATTAATATTTAATGCAAGTTTTTGCCCATTGAAATGAATGGGAAAGTTTTTGCCCATTGAAATGAATGGGAAAGATTTATTTGTGGTGTGTTGGCTCCATCTTTTGGTCCCATTGAAACGAATTTCAAACTTCATTTGTGGTGTGTTGGCTCTCTCTAGTGGTATGCCGGCAGTGGTACGGCCTGTCTACCCTTATTTGCATTACCGTAATGACGACAAAATCAACGGCGCCCACAGCATTGCTGCTTTCAGGAACCATTGAAATTCTTAAGGTTGCGCGAACCATTGAATAGTTAGGGTAATCGCAAGGATATATGCTTGGTGGAAAACTCCATATCCCACAATTCAACAATGGCGGCCCCCACTTCGTTTTTATATTGCTCTTATTAGTGTTTCTAGGTCACAAAATAAACTTTTAAGATATTTTCAGGTGAGAATGTAGCTGTGTAAACGTCAAATATCTGCTCGTTTTATCAAGACATCCTATATTAGCAACAGTGCTCTGACGATGTAGCCGGCTAGTTAGCTAGCGCACTTGGCTGAAAAGGACCCAGGCTGCCTTACAGTGATGGCGGGTCACGCTTGTTTCACCCCCCTCCCCCCCCCTTTCCCGCAAAGACTCGGTGTCTCAGCTGGACTTATTTTTTTATAATAAGTCCAGCTGATGGGCTGATTATTCATTTATTCGTTTTAGTAACGGTATAAACAGTGAAAGGTGGTGGGCTGTCCAGATGCTGGTCATGTGGAAAAAATAACTGAGTTATTTGGTGGTGGCTAACGGGAGCTACAACAGAGGGCAGCTAGCCACCTGTGTATGACAGAGCGACCAGGCCTGGCTTACACCCAGAGCGGTTCTCTGTCTCGTTTCACCCCCCCTCTCTCATGCGCAGGTACGAGTGTCCGGTGAACTGGATTTCAGGTAAGACGTTATGTATATTTTCGTTGTGCTTACTTTTTCCAATCAGTTACAATAAGTGTACTGCGCTAGCTAGCATGACAGAGTTTCTATACAGCTGGGTGGGTGCTGTGTTACTGATGGTGAACTTTATTGTCTTCATAAGGTTAGTTAGTAGAGTTGCCAACCGTCCTGTGCAAACGGAATCGTCCGGCATTCAGAGAAAATATTATGCGTTTTGTATTGAGCTGAAAAGGAACACAGTTTGTCCCGGACTTCAGCTAGAATGGAAAAAGACACAAAACTGGAATTATTCTGTCCTTATGCTGCACAGCGGACTCTTCCCCTGTCATTCTCTCGCCTGTTGCTACTTCAATCATGAAACTGATCAATGATCAGCTGATCAGCGCTCACTTTGCGCCAGAACGGGA